TTTCATTGAAAACTTAGCATTCATGGACTCACCCACTCCTTGGCTCTCGACGGGGAGCGCTATTGTTGATCTAGCCTAAAGGAGATAACAAAGCATGTGTAGTAGAAGCTAACCGTTAGCATTAGCAACCCCACCACAAGGCAGATTTGGAACCAGAAGGGTTTTACTGCCTTTTTTTCTTCTTCCGGCACTCACAGAGTACAGACGCTTCTGCATTTGCTCCCTTATCTTTTTTTTCCCAAGGCTCTTTGTCCTGTCTGCTTACAGAGCGCTTCTCTGCATTTCTTCTGGAAATCCCTATTTTTCAGAATGGATTTAATTAATTGGTCATCCAACGCAATTGATAAGATTTTTTCTACAATGAGAACGGAGGAGGGGGCTCCCACTTGCCCTCAAGGGACACACGCGGCGGGATATGCGCTCGATTCCTGGAAGGTGTGGAGGATCGCATGTCTCTCTCAGCTGTCCATTGAGGACGTTGAAGATATATGGATATTTGGCCTGATGATCACTGGATTTCTTCTGATTGGAGTGGGAGGATATCTGGTTTTCTGGAAATTTGGGAAGACGGGAGCGATTAGAGGGCGACCCGCACCCACGGGAAGCACCGCCCGGGCGGAGACCTCACAGACTGGGACGTTACTCGAGGTGAACCGTAAGCTGGACAATGTTCTAGCTGTGTTACCGGTGTTAGTGCGCAAAATGGATGTCATCTCGGAGAGGGTCACCGGACGGTGTGGAGATGTTTAAAACCTGAATTGGCTTCATTGAAGGACTGGAATGACCAGTTACAGACTGAAGGCAGAGAGGAAAATTACCTCCGCCTGACCCAAACAAAGTCTTGTTATCCAAGTCTGACGCCAAGGCAGCCTTGAGCTGCTAACAACGACCCACACAAAGGAAGGGATGCAGACAGATGCTGTGAAAACCCGACCCCCCCCCCCCCCCCCCCCCCCCCCCCCCCGCCTTCAGATTGAGAACTTCTGCCTAGCGAGGTCATCAACCTGCAGGAACTCAATGTGCTCTGCGCTCCTCCTAAGATCTCCCTCCACCTGTGGATACAGTTGGCTGAGCGCCACACAGGGCTGCTCCCCGCTGGGGAAACAGGATTCCAGCCCCCCCCCCCCCCCCCCCCCCCCCCCCCCCGCCTCCCTATCTGAGTCTCATGTTACGTTGAACTGTTGATGTTCGTGCTTACATGTTCGAGGTGTTTTTTCGTATTGCAAAACTACGCCCTGCCAGGAGTAACACTGGAATGCCTTTTTTTCTCCCTCTCCCAATTTATCCTCATGTAATCCCCTTTCATCTAAATGAAATGCTGGCGGCGCATGTACACGCAGCGGCTTCTCTCTCTCTCCCGTACTCTAGCGAGAGTTTGAGAGTAACGTAATTTCATTTCTCTGTATGTCTTGCACATGTGGTAGAATTGACAATAAAACTGACTTTGACTTTGATATGTGCGAGTATCACAACATTAGGAAATTGCTGCATTGCTTGGAGCAAGAAAGAAAAAAATAAATGATAAGCAAGCATTTGAATTAAGAAATTGACACAATAAAATTATAATAAAGGGAGGCAATAATTAGAGAAGCAGCTATTATATACAAGCTAGTGCAGGTACTGGTCAGAGCGGATCAGTTCACGTGCAAACACAGCACGGGGTCAGGTGACCGAAACAAAGCAACTGGAGTGGGCGGGTCTGCAATTGTTATTCATGAGTCCGACCGCGGGGGGAAGAAACTGTTTTTGTGGTGAGAGGTTCTGGTCCGAATGGATCGGAACCTCCTGCCAGTTGGGAGCGATTCAAAGAGACCGTGTCCAGGGTGAGACGGTCAGCTGTTATCTGACCTGCACGCCTCCATGTCCAGGAGGTGTACAGGTGCTGTATTGAGAGGAGTTTGCAGACAATGACCTCAGCAGAGCGCACGACACGCTGAAGTCTTTTCATGTCCATGATGGTGGCTCCCGTGTACCTCACGGTGATTAAGGAGATGAGGATGGACTCGCTGACGGTGGTGTAGAACTTCCTCGTCGACTGTACTGGTAGGTTGAATTGAGAAAGTGCATCCTCTACTGGGCCTTCTTTATGATGGAGGTGATGGGCTCCCACTTCAGGTCCTGGGGGATGATGATGCCCAGGAAGCGACATGAGTCCACCATAGTGATGGGAGTGTCAGACAGGTTAATGGGGGGGAGGGGGGTTGTGTGCTTCCTGAAGTCCACAACAACCTCCACTGTCTTCTGTATGTTTAGCACTGGGTTGTTGTGGCTGCACCAGGACACCAGCCATTCGACCTCCATTCTGTAGGCAGACTCATCCCCATTCGAGATAAGCTAGAAGACGGTGGTGTCGTCTGCAAACTTGATAAGCTTGACAGACTTGTGGTTGGAGGTGCTGCCGTTGGTGTACAGGGAGAAGATCAGAGGGGAGAGAACGCTGCCCTGAGGGGAACCGGTGCTGAGAGTCCGCAGGCCCGAGACATTCTTCCCCAGCCTCACTTGCTGCTTCCTGTCCATCAGGAAGTCGATGATCCACCTGCAGATGGGGTCAGGCATGCTCATCTGGAACAGTTTGTCTTGGAAGAGTTCAGGGAGGATTGTGATGAAGGCAGAGCCGATGCCTATGAACAGGATCTTGGCATAGGTACCCAGGAAGTCCAGATGCTGCAGGATGCTGCGTCGAGCCATGTTGTGGACAGGTCTGCAATTTTAGGAAAGCAGCTTGGGCTCTCATGTTGGTAGGTGGGGTTAAACGTACCGTCATGCACAATTTCATAAATGTGCAAATATTCAGTATTTTTGTGCTGCAATGAATGGTCTGCAGGACTAAAGATAATAAAGAAATTCTTACCAACAGGCTACACAAGTGACTCGCAGTCTCAGGGTCCGGGTCTGCCTCGGTTTGCTGCAAATGGCATCTAGTGCATTGTAGCTTTTCCATGCATTTACGTGCTGGCTTTCTCCCATACAAGTGTACAGTTAATGAAAGTAGAAACAACAGGAATCTGACTTGTTGGCCTGCTTCTGTTGTAGGCCTTTGTGGAGTAGTACTGTAGGGTTAGGGTGAGCAACAACACAGTTCACCAATTAGAGGACAGAAATATGTCTCTACTTGCATCAATTAAAACAAACCTTGCATTCCCTTTGCTTGGATTCGTATTTTCATTAGTTGTACATGAATGTGAGAAAATGCCAGCAAATTTAGCAGATTGTTAAGGAATGAAAGTTTTTTTAAAAGAAGTTTCTCAGTGGATGGGAGCCAAAGGATTTAAACGGACGTCGGAACGGTGTCGCCAAGCTGAAGAAATGAAACGCCCAAAATTAGGAAAGTTACGGACAGAAACAGCTGGAGAAATGAGAGAAATACACACTTGCTACGATGCGTTGGATGCTATTTATAGCCCCAGACCTGCAAAGGGAGGCAGGCCTCTGGACTCAACAACCACACTGTGGAGTGTGGAGCCTGTTGGAAAGCATTTCTTTTTTTGTCTTTGGCTCTGCAGACCAGAAAAATACTGAATATTTGCACAACTTGTATATAAAACCACGCGTGACGGTTCGTTTAACCCCACCTGCCAACATGAGAGCAATAAAAACACTCCTGAAATTCCAGACCCAGTAGACGCCGGTCCACCCCGCCCTGTCCCGAGCCCTGCAGATGGATCAGAGGCTTATGGTATGGTATCATGTAGATGTCGTATTTTAATGCATCATATAGAATTGCATATCACATTTTAAACCATATTATATTATAAATTATTTCATATCTTCAGTTGTTTTATTTGACCTGTAATTGCATCACATATATACTATAATGTTAAATCCTACATATGGTAAAGTATTGTATTATTTACTATCATATATCATATCATATAAAAAGGAATGACATTGTTTTGTATCATACTGGAGCTTATTACCTGGTCATAATCTGGATTATTGCACTGTCTTGTGTTGTATCACACACAGGGCCGTGTGTATGCATGAAGCAACTGTCTTCCCTTTCTGTGTGTGTGTGGCGCGTGCACGCACACACACACACACACAGAGAGAGAAATAGGACACAGTAGCTTCCTAATAATGCAATGATGATCTTTCTTGAGTGCGTTAGAATGTTAATTGATAGAATTTGTTATCTCTGAATGCTCTTGTGTCAATAAAAGGTGATAAAACTGACCTTTTGGTTATTTTTGTTATATTGTCAATAAATTATAAGAAATAAGTGCTGCTGTAAGTCGCTGTCAGGTTTAAACATTGTGCGAATTACTAACAGTCGAAACGCAGAAAAGGTGAATAAAACATTTCAAATGTAAATGTGGTTGCTTTTATAAAGTAACAAGGTATTATTAATATATGTCCGAAGTAATCAATCCCACAAACCCGCCGGTGCTGATTATTAAACTTGTCCTTTGTCTGTGGAAAAACTCACTGAAAATAAAATTAAACTAATCCATAACGATTAAACGAAAACATTGTCGGGAGGCAGTCTTAAAAATCGGAAACGGTTAGAAAACAAATGAAGGAAGCCACAAAATGAGTTTTCACTTGGCTGTTTCTCATTTATTATTAATTAATGTAGTATCTTTGTGGAAACAATACTGAAGAATTAAATGCAGGCGGGGGAAAAATGAAAATGAAATAATAAATCACAGAGCTGTTTATTTGTCATCAATTAAACCAAAAGTTTAATTCAATTCATTTCGATGGAACTCGTCTGGAAGTATTTGTGTGCAACAGTGACTAATGTTATTTTCATTACTGATTGAGTTTTGAATACCAGTGTGTGCGCGCACGAATGCGAGCGTGTGCATGCTGGCTTGTTTTGTGTGTGTGCGTGTGTGAATACCTCCATTTAAACAAATGTTTGACTTTTTTCCCCTCAAATGTGTAAAATCCCATAAATCATGTCCAAAGCCCTTGAACCTGTCCGTAATTATAAAAAATTGTGCTTTTCATGCAGACATTTCACTCGACTGAGAGCTAATTATGTCATCTGCTAACAGGTGGCCTCGACAGATGGCGTCATCAAACGGGCTGTGTCGATACGGAGCCAGGGTGGACTGCTGCTGGGGCTGGACGCGCCGCTCCTGGGGTCACTGCCAGCGTGAGTTCTGCCATGCTTGCTTCTGCTGCTGCTGCTGCTGCTGCTAGGGGCAAATGGGACTAACAAGGTGGCGAGGTTTCAAGCTGGGGTCAAAGATGCTATTAATGGCATTATGGTGCAAGGGAAGCATGCGTAGAGTTTACCATCGCTACACCTGCAGCTAATGGAGCACCACACCTGCAGTTGCCTCTATACAAAGATTGATGGTTAAAGATGATTGGACCTGCAGGCTGACTTTTAGAATTATAACATTCAGCAAATATTCCTTTGGAGGATTCAGAGGTATACTGCAACATCGTGCAGCTGCACCATTTCCATCACATGGTGCAAATGTCCTGTGCTTTGCTTTAAGATCACCAAGGGAAGGTATGAGTGTGCTGGAGGGTTACAGGTTCAGCTGATTGACTCACAAACATCTTATCCTTTGCATGGCTTAATGCCTGAAATACTTGCTGCTTTGCTGTGGACATTTATTAAGGAAAGTGGGTGTTGAAGCACACAAATGAGCCTTTTCCACCGTGGGAACTCACCAACCTGCAATTCAAAACAACATACGAGGGAAAGTGCTTATTCGCTTCCTCGCTGAGACGTGGATCAGAAAATCTGTGTCTGTTTAGCTGGAGGCTGCAGCCATCAGCGGACTGGTTTAGATTCAGCAAGATTAGAAACAGAGTTAGAACGGTTATTTTGAGAGAAGAAAAAAAAGCACTGTAGATTAAATAAACTGTAAAGCTATGAGATAAATTCACTTAAATAGGATGGCTTCCTATTATTCCCATAAAATCCCAATAAGGTTTCCGTGTGTTTTAGCGCATTTTATGACTTCAGAGAACACTCTCTAGTCTCGGCTCTTTGCTGTGTTGAAACAAAACATTCAGCAGACTTCGTGCTGGCTCCCTGCATGATACTTGAAATAAAAGCCTTTAAACAAACAACATTTCCTGGATTTGAAATCTTTTTTTTTTTTTTTTTTGCCAAACGGATCACAGAATTACTCAAAGAGCCATTTCTGAATGAGTGACTAATGCCTTTCTAGTGGAAAAACATGTATCACACAATGCCTCTGGAGGTCGTTCACGTCTAAGCATTCATAGCAAAGCTCTTTAAAAAGTATTTCAGACTAGAAGACAAGCAATCGAACATTTGATCCTTAAATCCATGTTAATCTTAGCATTTTATACTTCTAATTGTTAAATCATTCTAATGAAAACATCAGATAGGTGATTTAATTAAGTTGTTTGGAACATTTTTCTTTGCCTTCTAAAAAGGTCAGGAAGGTGTAGTTCACTCGTTTAATCAATACATTTGCAGTTGTCTCTAGTAGGAAGGAATGCCCTTTAAGTTGTAGGGGGGGGGGGGGGGGGGGGGGGCTCAGATGTGCCTGTTTCAGGAAGTACAAGTCAGCTGGAGGAGAAAGTATCTGACATTTGGACGTTTCTCCTCTGATTCGCTAGCAGCAACGCGACGACAAACTCCGTTTGCTTTGCAACGTTAGTGATTTATCTCCACAAATACCAGCCTGGAGGAGTTCTGCTGTGTGGTGGAGTTGCTATTGCTAACGGTTAGCTTATACTAGATGAGACGTTTTTTTCATTGAACCGTACCTTTAATGGACAGTTTACCTAATAACCCAACTGCCACATCTGACACATCTAGTTTATAAGCGCTCTATCTCTTTAACAGTAAAAAAAAAAAAAACCTGCTGAGTCAAATCCTAAACACCTTAGGTGGAGAATCTAAGCTTATAGATGACAAATGCCAGTTTAATTTTTTTTTTATGTTGTATTGTTTTATATTGACTTACTTAAATGTAACTGATGCTTTTAAAATTGTTTTATCAACATTAAAATACAATAAATATCTTTTAAATGGTCTTTCCCGTTACCACACGGTAGTGGTCCACCCTCCCTTAGATATTCCTTTGACAGTTTTTGTTACAAAGCTCCATCATTCTTATTAAAATCATCAGTTTTTAAATGTCTTTAGAAAGGTCTTAGTATTTATTTTTTATATGATCCAGTAAAATTCAATTAAACTCCAACCTGCTGCTTTACTCTCTCTTATTGAAAGCTACACTCACCTTTTTACTGGTATATTTCTGAAAGACTCTTTTGCACAGACACCAAATGTTCCAGTTTGTAAAACACAGCTGGAGAAAAATGGACCATGACACTCACCAGTTCTGGTTGTTAAGCTCCTGCTATGGAAAAGGCCTAAAGTGGTCCCTGTTTCTGCTGCATGTTGACTCTACATGTTGATGCATGGGCTCTTAGGCTGATATTACACTTCCTGTCAGCTTTTTATTGCATGAATTAACTATATTCTCTCCTCCACTCATCCAGTCATGCTATCCTGGCCTTTTTATTTTACATCCAATGAATTTTACATATTTGCTTGTAAATATGGCACATACTGCTCATTTGATTGTTTTTTGCTTAAGAGTTTTAGGTGCAGCAGGTTGCGCTAGTTTCATGCAAAAGTGGCCAAATGCCATCTTTTTACTTGATCTTGGACTCTGCAGCATCTGAGAACACAAATAGAATACTGTTTGAGTTCATGGCCCCAGAGTGGTGTTTTTTTTTTTTTTTTTTTGCTAGCTTAAGGTATTTGTGAGGCATATCTCATCTCTTGGCTCACGTCTATTAGAAACAAATTATGGTAATCTGATTGTTGCATAAACTCTTGGAGCCAGAATATCAAGTTATGCTAATAGTCTGGGGGACAAACCTAAACCTGTAGCTGAGGGGAAGATGTATCATGTTTGAAAAATAATAATAAAAATCTTGATGGAGCTTAAAACCTCCTACCTTGTTCCAAGTTCTTGACTCTTAAACTTTAAATTCTTTGCTAAAATCAGGGAACCAGCACCACTGTTTGGGCCAGACTCAGCAGAAATTCTGGCACAAATCAGCCATCTCAGTGCCCAGAGCCTCCCAGTGATATGCACTGGGCTCACTGCCTTTTAGAAAATTCAAGGTGGAATAGATCCACTATTTGCTTTGGCTGAGGATGCAAGAGTGGGATGTCTTTATTATCAGAACAGCTTAGATTAGCAGGAAGGGAAGAGGTCCAGTTCTCATATTGAGAAGGATCATTCATATCCTTTGAAGTGGTTCCTGTGGAAAGGTTATGAACATTTAATACCTCACCTGTTCTGGAAAGCTGCTTCAACAGTGTTCAGAAACAGAGATCAGCTCTGTGGAACGATGAGCTGACAGCTGGTCACAGTAAGGCAAACACCCAAGTGGGGAGCTAAAACAACTTTAAAATATTCCAGTGCAGTAAATGTTAACATTAGTTTATAAGCCTTTATGGTATTCTCAGTTTCAGATTAAACAGCAGAGATGTTATGTGTTTTCTACCAGATGTGCACCAGGCTGCACTGAAAATGTCACAACCAGTTGCAGCTGCTAACCCGGGCTTTCCACCAGATGTGAAAGCGGAGCGTAATGCGTTTTCCCCGTGACCTCAGCAGCATGTCCTTACTCGAAAAAGGAATAGTATACCCAGTATTTTGATACAATGTAGGCAATAAAATTATTTTTCTTTTTTTGCTAACTCCCATTCTGTAGAGCCCCACGTCATTTCAAATGAACGACGCTCATCATTAGCCAATAGCGTTAGCCATCTGCTTACACACATTTTTCATGCACAGAGCGTGCTCGCGTTTGCAGATGTACCTAGACAGATGCAGAGTTGGTGATTTTTCTCATGCACAAGTAAGTCTTTAAAAAATATATAAATATATATGAATAATGAGCAAAGCATGAGAACAACTATAACACTATGTTTTAGTTCTGTTTGAGCTAGAGTTGCGTGTTCACAATGTTGCTTCCAGTCATAATTACAGAAAAATCGGGACAGGACTAAAGGCACAATACATTTTTTTTATCTGTAGATGGTGCCCTCTGACAAAAAGCTTTGGATTTCTGCTTTAAGCAACTGTAAATCTTTTATTTTGAAAGCTGCTGGATGTTTTTTACTGTCATGGTTGACTTCCTTTTTGGCCCACTCGGTTTAGCATCTAAAACATGACTTGCAGCATAAATTTAGCAGAGCGACACGACTCTACGCTTCTGAGACACGTCCAAAAGATGCCGCTTCACGCCTGGTGAAAACACAGCCATTGACCATAGCAGCAGCTTTTAGCCGTGTATTGCACTTTGCAGAGGTTTATGTGATCGCTAGGCATCTGGTGAAAAGCCAGGGTAATGCTGCTTTAAAATAATCAAAGCATGCATTTTAAACCGATGGTTTGGTTTTTAAACCGAAGTTTGCCTTTTCATTAAAGGGATACTATGCAGTTTTGGCTCGCTTTTAGCGCCCCCTAGTGCTCCGTTATTGAAGCAAAAGTGAAACCTTTTGCCTTGCTGTGCGTTCAACATTTTAACACCTTAATCGAACAGCTGAAATGTCTCCTCAGGCTTCATTAGTGTCTACATGAGTCAGTGCGGCTACATGCACAGTGACCGACATTTAAGTCGATCCAGGTCGGTCTTATTGTAATAAGCTGGGAGTCTTCATCATAGTTTACATGCACATTAGAAAACCCAACTCTGAAATAAAGTTCATTCCACTCCAGTACAGTAGGTGGCAACATGCTCACTTTTATGTCTGTATTCTTCCAATTAGCTTATAGCAGCAAAAGCCGTAAACAAACACTCGGATTGAATCAGACGGATTTGAAACAGGATATGCGCAATAGCTGAAAGAATGGACAACAACAACTCTGCAGCACAGCTTACGTTGTACAGACTGTCCTGTTTGATGGTGTTACGTGTGTCACTTTGTGGTGATATCAGAAAACTGCTTCTGCTGTCTTGTCACTTGTGTAACGCGAACGTCCTACCGGTTTAGTTTGGATAACTTGTTTACATGCAGAACCTATTGGGATTGCGACCGCATTATCTGGGTGCTTCAGCTTGATTAGAACCAGTTCGTTGTCAGCCAGACTAACACGTTTACATGCAATTAAATAAAATGACGCAAGTCTTTTTAGG